TTTTTTTTTTTTTTTTTTTTTTTTCATTAGTGACAAATACGCACAGCGATAATCGATCCCAGGAAGGATCGAAACGATTGTGCGAGTCGTACGACGATAACGTGTCTTACTACCGCATCCTCATCATCTATTCATGTCATCCCATTGTCTGTCGCAAACAATGACAGTTAGTTCCCGAATATGAATTCGTTAAACGTCTCGTCGCGGATCAATTCGTCGCGTGAATTAAGCGGATTCAGCAGGAACATGCTCGAAAGGTTATCTTGTAATAGAATTGATCGATATAGTAATTATATATAGGTTAAATTTTTATTTTAAATTGTTTTAATAAAGAAAGAAAAAGATATTAGAAAATCTCGATTATTTATAGTAATAATGTTTGTGTGAAATTAAATTGTTGATCGTTTATTCTAATTCACAAATTTCCATCCAATAAATTTATAAACGCATAATATGTATGTGTTTTGTGTATTTTTTTATGGTTATATAATATAAATTCACGATATTGATTTTCCATTCGTTTGAATTAATAAACACATGCTTACGAAATTGATTAAATTTGAAATTTTATCATTGCAAATTGAAATAGGTATCGATAAATTTGTTACTGTAATGATTATTGTTACATTATTTTCTTCTTCTTCTCTTTTACTCTATTTTACTCCATTTTAAATGTATTTAAAAAAGGAAGAATTGAAGATTTCTCCAATGCAATTTATTCATTTCACAATTCTTTTTTGTCTCTCTCTACTTTGAGAAAATTTCAAAAACTTTGTATATCTTAAAAATGATAGAGAAAGGCATTAAATGGATCTTTTGAATTTATATTTCACGTCATAAAGCGTGTTTTGTTTCGTATTTCATCGCGAAATTATAAAAGAATAAATTGTTCAAGGTGTTAGTTTATATAAGTGACTCGCAATGTATTTACCGTATTGTGCCTTCAGAGCTTACTTGGCGAAAGAAAGAATGACGTCGAGTTTCCTTATTGTCGTGGACGTTATTTCCTTTTGATATCTGTATGAAAGCTCTCTCGAACTACCTCTGCACCTTCTTCGTCCTTTTTCGCGTTTCCAAAGCCTTCGATTTCAATAGATTTGGCTTTGTTCAGCACAGCCCGCGGCATTACGGCCATGTCCAAATGTTAAAAGTTATTAATCACCTATCAATAATTTAGATTTCTCGACAAGTTCGCCTTCTTTTACGATTCTCTTCCTTGATAAAATTTCGTACAATTTTGTGTCACGAATATCGTGAAGGAATTTTCGCAAACGTTATAATTACGTACGATATTTCTTCAGAAATCCTTTATGCATTTCAATCATTACGAATTATTTAATTATAGTTTCATTTTAGTCCCATCTTATGATACGTGCAATAATACAGTTGCTATAATATTCAACAACTTACAATTCAATATTCAATCGTATTAAAATTTTTATATATATATAATATATAAACATACGATAAAGGAAAGGAACTAACGTAACTAACGTAACTAACGTAATTGACACGTGTTCTTGTACATTATAGCCGGTCATCAAATTAATTCTGTCATGTTCTCATATACGATATATTTTTAATTTATCGAAGATACTTTTAGATAAATGGATTCGATGAAGGAAAGGAAGTGAAAAGGAACCTATTTGTCCATACAGGATGTAAGAGAACGAATATCGATCCATATTGGCGCGATTGAAAGATGGAATCCTCCCCTAACAAGAATTCCCATGATAAATGTTGGAGGTCCACAGGCGTGTTGCTAGTTAGGATTTCGGAGTAACAGTCCATCAAATTTCGCGCAATAACGATTACCCCATTCGGTTTGAGTGATGTGGCTTTCGTGGCTACGTAACACGTGTCAAAATATATGTACACAACCGTCCCAACCGGCAGTGATTACACATTCGCGTTGTATGACATCGTATCTATAGAGCCACCGAGATCCTTTGACATTGCACTGTGCATCGTGCGCCACGCGCCATATCACGTTCGCAGTGTACGAACGCATCGGAACCCGCGAATACTAATGCTTTCCTAATGCATCACGCACTCGGAATTCACAATAAATGTCACTGAAAACGGAACGCCTTCGATTACATTTTATTACCTCGTGATAGGAATAGTAATTTTATCGATAATTGGAAAATATTATATGTTGAATTACGTCTCTATGTATTTTCTATCAACAGCAACAGTTCGTCGAATTCGTGTAAAAATTTTTGTCGTCGAAATTCACTCAGGGAAGAATCATTGAAGTCGTGTTTTCGTTTTATTTTGTTATATTTCAATCGATTGTCGGGATACGAGGATATTTCTTGAGATTGTGCAAAGATTGCGCTCGTGATCAATATTTTTTTTCTTCTTGGAAATGCGTATTACGTTCTTCCAATTTATCCAATTTATCACTTGTCTGAACTTTGGCATAGATCAGTAAAACGAAATAGAAATGACAGATTCGCATAACAGAAGGTAGTAAATCTTTACACGATGATGTCTCTGGAAACTGGAAGTCATATGGAAATAAATGAGAAAGTATTTTAAAGAGCAAAATTCTATCTTTCTAATGATTATTCACCTGTGATTCGAAAATCATTATCTTCAAAATTATAATGGTTTGAATGTTTCCTTATTTTAATAAGATTTAACGAAAATGTTGTATAAATTCTTTTTTATTCTAATCTGTTTTAAGATTGCTCCCTTTTAATAAATGTAAAATTCCTATAAAGTTCACAAGTTTCTTGCGTTAGAGCGTTGTAATTTGATATTTTAAAAAATTATTGTTCTTTGATCGCCATATCGTTTAAAATTCTATTACGATATATATTTATAAGTGAAATTTCGAAGTTTATTCGTTTCGATAAATTTTCTCACTACTCTCGTAACCACGATATCAAATCTTTCGAAGACACGAAATTAAATTATGAGATTATTTGCGTTCGGAAACTTTGTTATGATTTTTGTTCTGTGTCGTTGCACAGATTCGTGTTCCTTGCTGTTGGGATAATTCGAGAGAAATTCTTGGATCCAGGTCAAAGAAAAATTAGCTTAACTCGATTTAAGGATAAATTCAATTTATTTCAATATTTTTACTTGTTAAGAGGAAAAGTGGACTCCGTAAGTCTGATTGCATATTAAAAAAAAATATATAAATTATGTAGAGATGAATTTTTTTTATATTCAATTATCTAAAATTTTATAACATTTGAAAAGTTATTCGAAAATATTTATTTTATTTTTCTTTTTATCATTTCTTTATAATTATTCCAAATTTTCATCTTACAACAATGTTTTACTTCAGGAAAAATCTTGCAAGTGAAAAAATTTGATGAGCTATTTTCATGACGTTCTTGAACTTCGAAAGATTCAATATTACATAATATTTTGCATACATCTCGTATGTTTCTCAATTTTCTCAATAATTCTAACATTGAAACACTTTTAACGTAATTGACACGTGTTCTTGTACATTATAGCCGGCCATCAAATTAATTCTGTCTCATATACGATATTAATGTTCTCATATACGATATATTTTTAATTTATCGAAGATACTTTTAGATAAATGGATTCGATGAATGGAACATATATTTATTTTAAAATCGCATGTTTTGTGCATCGTTATTTGATTATCAGCGATATATGTTTAAATATATGGTTATTACACATATATTTATTTTTCGATGAAAACTTGGAAATATCTTTCTAAAAGTGATTTCGTTTAATTTTCCATACGTACTTTGAAATACTTTGTCAATTTATCAAAGTACCACGTTGCACACGTTTTTCTTATTCGATTACGATAACAATATATTTCAAATACTTCCATGTTGGACAAGTTTTTTCGATCAAAAAAAGTATCATCTGTGATATTAATTATTTTTTAGATTCACTTCAATTTGAGAAAATTAACTTCTTTCTTCTTGGAAAATCTTTCTGCTCACTTTGTGGAAAACGGAGTTCTAAAAGTTACAATATAGAAGTTGGGAAATTGATCTTTACAAAGTAAAGCTCTTCCTTTCTTTTCTAGAAAGGGAAAATCGAATATCTTCGAAGTCAAACAATTTCAAATTAAATAAACTTTTGAATATTTGAAAAGTTCGTTTTCCATAGAAATAGATTTCCTTATAAGCATAGATATTCTTAGAATATATTATATAAGTATTTCAATTTGTAAAATCATTTTATCTTCCAAAAAATAAAATTATCCGATTCGCCATGACCAATATCCAATATCTCCATTATTCCTTCATCAACGTCAACGACTTCGCGCTCTAGATTGGTAGAAAATCCGCTCATTCGTGTGCAAATTTCGCAAATTCACTTCGAACGTGGAAACCACCCCTCGACGATAACGATTCTTCTAACAATTCCAATCGAAATTCCCTTCTATATATCCGTAAAACGTTCGCAGATATCGAACTGATGCTATCAATTTGCGACGACGACGAGAGCATCGAGTCCTGTTTACAAGATAAGCCAACGATCCGCGCGAAGAATCACGAGCGGAAACGGGATAAAAGAGTCGTGGTTTACGAAGCTCGTAAAGATTCTATCCAAAGCACCGTGACGTCGCGCCGTCGCATAGCAACGATTCTAATCTCAACTTTTATTATTGTGTCACTCGGTTGGTGAATCATGTAGGAACCCGCGAAAATGCCACCAACGATTGTGTGAATCAAGCGAAGTTATCTTTTGGTGTAAATGAAATGAAATACGAATGTTGTTTAAATCTTCAGCATTTCTTTTTCAAGTTTTAAATTTTCTATTGCTTCACGTTTGTGATGTATACAATACTGAGTTTAATTTAATAAAATAATATGAACAATTTATAGCAATGACAGCAGAACTCTGTGTGGTATAAATCATCCAGTGTAGAGAGACTTAAATTGAATCTTCCAACATCTTGAAATATTCCTGAATTTTCCTAATAGATTT